TAGGTCCCATTTCAGCTCTGATCTCTTGATGGTTACACTTTTTCTATTAGAGAGCTAAGCAGTCCCTCAAAGAATATTTCTTAGTTTTCAAGCTAAATAAGAATTTTGAAATACTATATTAAAAAAATAACTTTCTAACCAAATAAATACTTCATATGCAAAACTACTCAGATCTAAGTATTGGGTTGTCATGATCAAATGAGAGTTTTATTCCAATCCTAAAGCTTTCAGATAATGATTATAATAGCAATACCTTACCTAACACAAAAAGAAAACTCTAAGCACTATGCAATGTTATTTATCCATATTTCAGTGTCCCCCAAACAAGTCAGCAAGGTTGGTGTCTATATTTTTTCTTTATTTTAGATATATATATATATATATATATATAAAATTAGTATCTTGCTCCAGATTAAGTCAGAGTATATGCTCCATCTTCATGAAATATTTTTGAATTGAATAACGACTTTATATCACATTTTTGCCTTCATTATCATTTTATTCCACTTGAAGCAAGTCTGATCATTAGCATGGATTGATTCCTTATAAAATAATAAATGGCCATTTTTAAATTACACCATTCTTTGATTTATGAGTGTTTGAATCATTTTTCCTTTGTGAGAGGTTAGCTGAAGAGAACTTAATAAGGCGAACTCCACAGTGCCTGTTTTCTGCACATCCAGGGAAAAACTGATTTCTTTCTCACCCTAGCAATTATAATTTAATGCTTCATTTGCAAGTTATTGTATCCAATAACTGCTATATTTCTGCTTGTTTTCAAACAGCCACATTTTGTTTTTTAATTATTTGTTTTTCTAAGAGTTATGCAGGGATTTATAATATCTGTGCTCTACTATTTCACTCTCTCATGAAGTAGGAACATGCTGTCTCTATCAAAAGCTGCCAACTAGCAGAAGAACACAATATACAGTATTTCTTCGTGAGCCAGAAAGATTCCAAGTGAGTGGAGATATGATAGTCCATTTCTATTTTCACAAAACTACTCTCATTTATCCTTATAACAATAACCTTTGCAGAGTTAAAAATATAAAGGCAGTGAAAAATGATTGGAATAAATGATAAAAGAGATGACTGATTTTTTTTTTAATAAAGCCTTTTGATGAAACAATCTTGTACTGTGACATAAACAGAAAGGAAGAAAGAATTAAAAATGGGACAGGGCAGTGAATACGTTTACAAAAGAATGCGTAAAACAGAAAGATAAAGACTCTGGCAAGTGGATAAATTATTAGCAGGATCATTCACATCACTTCCCTAGCCCTACATCAAGATCAAAACAAAGGAGAAAAAAGTCATGAGAGGTTGTTGGTGGACCTCAGGAATCTTTGTATGGATCCTATATATTTCAGCTGTTAATTACAGGTATGTAAAGAGAATAAGCAAATAAAATACTTGTGTCAGACATATTTTGGGAGTCATTATATAATAAGTTGTTACTAGGCATAATGGTTAAAGAGGAATGTTTTTTGAGTGAGACAAATATGGGTTTTTATCTTGGAAATACTATCTCTTAAATTACTAAAGCCTCTGAACCTCGTTTTCTTATCCTTAAATGGAGACAATATTTACCTTGTGCATGATTTTGTGGATTGAAAAAATAAATTGAAAATGCCAAGGAAATTATAGCACAAGGGAATAATGAAGAGCAAAGTGAGCATCCTTTGCCATCTTGTTCCCTGCGGCATAGCCAATCCAGCCTTTTTTCAATATTTCCATCTCTTGCTAGCATCTCCTATAATAAGACATCAACTCTGACTCACTCTGCCCTCTCATGTTGACTTCATGGGCAGCTACTACCTGTGGACATGCACAAAATAAAAGCAGGGTGGGGAGAAGTGTTAAAAGAAGTCTATCTGATAGGCTTAAGTCATGTATAGCTATTAGGAATCTGGGGAGATCTACTAACATGACTAAGAATAAAATGTAATGATGATGCAAGCGGGTGATCAGGTGGCGTGCAGTGATGTCAAACAAGAGTTTGAGAAATTGCTCAGTGGTCCTCTTGGTAAAAAGGTGAAGAGTAGCAGTAGACATAAAGGAGAACAGGAAGAATGGCCACAAGTAGTCTGGGATTATAGAAACAAAGTCAGGACTGAGTGTTTTATTTTTATTGTTAAAATATGTCACAACACTGCCATTACAAAATCATGTAATACTACTCCCTCCAAAAATGGATATTGTCTCCAGTGAAGACTTATTAGAAAAGTATATGGTGGTGGACAAACATCCATCATGGCTCCCAGGCCAAAAACTGAAATATATGCATGAATGAACTATTTCTACACTGAATACAAGGTCATATCTATAGTTACCAGACACTAGAGCATTAAAAAAGGCAGATACAAAAAAACGGATACAGAAGACTTACTTTTAAATCATAATTTTATGAGGGAAAGTAGTCAAAACAGGAATTCTTTAAATTCTTTAAATCATTTTAAAACTACAGCGATTATTTGTGAGGGGAATGACCCAGCATTCCTATATTTAATATAAAGATTAATTTTCATCTCAGCAACACCACATAGGGAAATCTTTATCCTGCTCTATTTAGCCTGTGCAAAATTGTGAAGTAAACACTTTCCTCTCAAATTTTTACTCTTCACCTTCATCTGAGTAATCCTTCTTTTTACTTCCTACCAAAGTTTGGTCTTATGATCAATAAATTACTAAAAACCACCTAAAATGTAGCTTTAAGTAACTTTGATTTAAGTAACAGAGATCAGACGCTGTTTTAGGTCAAGTTTGTAGAAGAGCCTGACTCGGAGATTCTTACACCTGTGATTTTTTTAAGGGCGTGTTCTCAGAAGCCTGTGGGAGCATGGATGAAAGTAGAGCTGCATTGGCAAAGGAGAGAAGTGAAGTAAGGATGCGGATTCAGGGCAAATCTAGCCTCATCCTCATGCCATGTGGAACTCTAGAGCATACATTCATTACAGCTTCTGTCTCCTGTGAGGCAAGGGCCTTTGTAGTCCCAGTCAGTCATTTTCTGGCCTCTTAATGAGTAAGGCCACTCCAAAAACCAAAAGGCGCACTCCAGGGTTGGGTGCAGAAAATTGAGCCCTTACAAAGCCTGCAATTGCTGTTAAAAGCGACCCCCAGGAATCTGGGTGAGACACCAATACATCAGTACAGCTGTTATCAAAATAATCTTCATCAAGAAATTCTTATTCAAATCTCCAGAAAATTAAAGTGAAATAATTTTTGAGTGGCTTAAAAAGAGGAGGGCCTGGGGAAGGGAGAAAAAGCATCTTTCCAGGATCCCTAGTCATTTTTCCAGGTTCTAACCCTGATTTCTCAATAATATGACTTAACAGTGTTTGCAAAACTTTTAGTGGTCCAAACAAGGAGAAAGGATTTAGTCTACAGGCTTTCTGATCTGTGTGGCCCTTTTATATGTGGAATATTTTTTAGATTTATGCATATATAGACATTATATCTTATAATACAAATGTTACTTATGAATCTTCTAATGATCCTGAGAAATAAGAGGCATGAGTATTTGTTATGATTTTATAAATAGGCAAACCAAGACCTGGAAAAGCCATATACTATGCTATTCACACAACTCTTAAATGGTACTTCTAAAACTTGAACCCAGATTTTTAACTCATAATTCAGTGTTTTCCCCACATTGCTACAACCTCCATTTCAAAGAAGGTTTCAATTTCGCAAGCTATGGTTTTTTTGAAAAATCTGTTGTCTAAAAGTGTCAAGTAATACTTTGAGATACTTCCAAGTAATACTTTGAGATAACTCTAGTGAAATAAATAGGCAAAATATCTAGAATCAAGTGAACAATGTTCAAAATCTACATTTATCACTTATTATCCATATGACCATAGATAATTCACATGGAGCTTTAGTTTTTTTCCATGGAAAAAATTACAGGTAGAAATACCTTTGCCTTAAGTTTGAATGGGCTATATTTGTAAAAGATAACACATTTGCATATTGTAAAATACTATAAGGTATTATTATTATCAACATCATATGGAAAAGACCCTGTAATCTGTTGTCAGGCACAGTTATTTCCAGGTGCCCATCACACTAAACCTTTAGATTATCAATTATTCAGATTTTAAGACTCAAAGATGATAGGACTCCAGACTTAGGTTTGTGATCACACAATATCTTGTTTATACTACTAATGACAACAAAACTCCACTTTTCTTTCACAGCCTGAAGCTTAATGCCACTTTGATGCCAGACACCCCAATGAGGCCCAAAGCATGTGCTGAATTTCTTGATGAATTTTACTCCCTTTTTTTGAGGTAAGTGTTGCTGCCTAGGTAGCAGCACTAGTTTTGTGGTGCCATTTAACTATTTTTCTGAAGAAAATCTTCAAATTCTACTGTTTTAGTTTCCCTGTGATCTCAATTAAAATTGCAAATAAAATTCATAACCACAGTTTTTGGTTATAAAACATGGATACCTACAAGATTTGTTTTCAAAAGTAAAAAGAATAAATTCTGAAGTTTTAAAATGAATAACACTGTTGTCGGAAAGTGGGCCCTTCTCGGCGCAAAGTCCACGTCCTTGGCAACTTGGGCAAAGAATTGAGCAAGATACCGGAGTAAAAGTAGTTTATTAGAATAGAAATTATTTCATGGAGTTTGGAGCACATGGAGCGGGCCACGTGCAAAGGTGAGGCTCAAAACGCTAGAAAAGGAAGGAAGGGGTCAAAGGGGAAGAAGTGGTCCAAAGAGCAAGATTTACCAGGACTTGGAGTTTTTATCCCTTTTTATCTAGAATGGGCTGTCCCCTCTGGGCGTGTGACCCCTTGATTGGAAGTTTTGGGTGGAGAGGGGAGGTCATTGGGTGGTCACATCCTATGGGGTGTGCAGAAATGCAGAGACCCAATGCCTGCCTCTAACTGCCTGCCTATTTTTCCCCTTGAGAGACGTGATCCCATAAAATCTCTATGGGAAGCTGAGGGACAGGAGGTCTTTTCTTCTGTATCTGCTTCCTGCTAGGCAGGGGCATAGCGCTGTCCCTGCCTATTGGGGGATTCACGGAACTCTCACCCTAGCTGATCTCAGATGAGAGGAAGAGATCTCAAGCTCCGCCTGGAAGTTCGAACAGGCTTCTTTGGTTGTGACTATCAATCTTGTTGGGATATCCTCTGTATCCCCAAGGTCCCTGAATGAGAAAAAATAGATTTTAATTAATAAATCTGTTAGCACTCATGAAGCCTGTGGCCTTTGTCACTCAGGTGGCGTCAATTTTCTGGGTCCAGAATGGGTTTGGCATTTAGTTTACTGGCCTGGAGGAAATTAGGAAGTCACAGGCTTTCAAGTAGTTATCTGAAGCAAGGGAAAGAGACTGCTATTGTTTAGGATTCAGAAACTGATTTACAAAGCAATTAAGTGGAGGCAGGGGTGTGGGGGTGGTCTTTAGTCTAGGATTCACAAACTGGTTAGAAAAGTAGTCAAAGCCAGAAGCTAAGGAACTAAAGAATTAGGGAGGAGACTTCATTTCTATACTTAACATTTCTATAAGAAAGAACACTTAAAAGTTTCTCAGTGGTGGGGGTGCTTCTCAGTTGGCAGTAACAACACTACCATCTTTATAATACATGCCTATTATAAATGATCTTTCCTTTATGATAATGAGTTAGAGATTCCAAAAACTAGATGAGATAACGCAACATTTTCCCCTTTTGATCTCTCCATCAGAAGTTCTGGAGATTAGTGAGTAGTTATTCCAGCATTCTGAGCTGTGCTAATCATTACCCCGAGCCATTATTGAGTGTAAAGCTTCTTGAGTGTGTTAAAGCATTCAAAATAACAAAAATACGCTGACAAATTATCACACTCATAAGATATTTGAATTCAAACAATATTCTATTACAAAGCAGTCTAAAACAACTATATCTCATATTATTTTATCAAAGTAAAATGTATATTTTGGCTTAAGGAAAATAACAAAAAGACAGTCAAATAACTGAATATAATATAGTTGAAGAAATACAGTAGTAGAAGAAAATATTTTCCTCCCACATACCATCATATAGCAGTTGGCACTTGAAATATGCACACTTTCCCTCTTGTTTCCTATTTGTCTAAACAGGACCCAGCACTGAGTGGCTGTGACAATAATGCAAATGGTTCATGATATCCTTAGTGCCTGCCATCTCAAATTTAATGGCTGATGCTTCAAACTGCAGTACAACACATAACTAGAAAGAAAGAGAAAGAAAATTTTCAATAAGATCAAATAATCATTTTGTACAACATTATAGTTGCTTAAATTCCCATTGGAGTAATGCCAAATATTGCAGCAAGAAGACTGATTTTGTGGAAAATAAGGATTCTACAATAAATTTAAAATGTTTAAAGGTTGATACTTTGTGTTCTTAAAAAAAATGGCTCTTCTAAATCAAGCATTTTTCTTTGACGTAAATATAATCTTCAAAATAAACAAACTCATATATCTAGGATGGGAAACACTGGTTTTACCAACTCTAACGCTCAGAATTTAGCCTTTTTCTGCCTTCTTCATCCATGCTTGAGAGGAAGGATTTAAGAGAGAAATTATATTCATTTTTTAAATCCTAAAGACAACACAAAGATATCCGGGTGTTCTTAGAATCTCCTTTTCTGATATTGGCCTTTCAGACCTCCGTGCTGATCCTAGCTTGAAGGAAGAATAGTATTGCTCACACAGCCTAAACCAAGTCCTTTGATTTAGTTTGAAATCAGCAAGCACAAAACAATAGGAATTCTATATGAAATTAAGCTTATACTGGTATAGTAGTATATTTCTGAAAGTATTATGTCACACCATGAGATAGAAAAATAGTACATTAGGTCAAGCAGAGGATTTTTATCTGTATCCAATTATTTTCATCATAGGCTTTTATCTATAGTCACAGAATTGGATAATTATTCTTTTTGTTTTTCTAACGTGTTACGGTCACATGAATGAGTATATTTCAGCCTTGCTAAACTTCAAATTGACTCTTAATAAGGACAGTATATTGGAACGAAAATGATGTAGTTGTTTCTATCACCAAAGCATGCTTTAAACCTATAAAATTCCTGATGGACATTGCTAATTGGTTTGAAGTTCTAAAGTGAGTATCGTTATATATTTTTATTATTTCCATAATCAGTAGGAAAAATGTTTCAAATGAGGTAACAACTATTAACTCCTCCAGTTGCCTGGAATAAAATAACAAAAACATTAATTCTTCTAAATTAAAAGCTAAATGAACCTAAGTATAATAGCACCTAAAGTAGAGTACCTAGACAGGAAGAGACAAGCTGCTTGGTACTCTATAATAAGCATCTCAATTATTTTCTCTGTGTCCAAGAATGTTATTAATAACATTCCTCCATCATAGTCTTTTTTAATCAGTGGTCATTTGATGAAAAAAAGAAAATTCTCGTATCTATCAGTGGGTAGTGTATATTCATGGAGGTAGTCTGCCTTTCTTAAGTAGTGATAATACTCTTCATTCAAATAGCACATGGGAATGAAAAAATATCTCCCCTATGGGGTGCTCACTATGGAGGTACCACTCCTCACTGATCAGGCTTCTTTTTGAGAAAATGCACTTTTGTATCAGCCACAAACCCATGCTTCATCTTTCTATGGGAGACCAATTCAAAACCCACCCTTAGTAACTGTATCTCAATTGACTTCTGGACAGCACATGCTCCAGCATGTAAATTTTAGAGATTTCTGTTCTATGTGTGGGATATTTAGTTATTAAAAAGAAATAAGATTATAAATATTTTGACAGATTGTGGATTGGTTTACAATTCTACTAAGTAGAATCACTCTGAATTCTATTTTTTAATCCCTCATATTTAAGATTCCATTCTGTTTATAACAGCTATCAGATAATCAGCAATTCACAGTCATTTAATTTAAGGATTGTGCTTATGCCACATTTTGTTATTAAAAGATCTAAGGAGCTATGTCTTATTTGATGATTCCAGATTAATCATTAATGTTCAATGTAAGCCACACAGTTAGTATGGGGTGGGGTTGGGGGGGGTGTTATTTTCCCATGTTTCTTATTTTATTTATTTTCAACTACCCTGCACTCTTCTTCAACCTCTCTGCATGGGCAGCCATTTAATCTTATATCTCCATGTGGTTTTTCAAAATGTATATTGTGGTTTTGTGTGCTTGTATTTTTAATCTCATAAAGCCTACTGTGTTGTATAGCTAATTCTCTCTCACAGCTCTTTCACTAAGCACTGTTTTTAACATTTGCCTGTGTTGCCATGTGGATGTCAGATCAGTTGCTTCTAACTGCAGAACAATATGGAAAGCATCAAGCGTGTTTTGCATGTTCACTCCCTTCAAATGGAAATCCAAAATGCTTCAAACTGTTTCCTCCCAGATAATGTGCTGCAAGGAATATACATGTACATAATCCCCTATGGATCTGTATGAATATTACTCTGGGACTTATATTAAGGAAGGTTATTGATGACTGAGCAATTGCACACTTTTCTCAAGAATAACTGTACCAACTAGGATCCCACCCAGAGGACCTGAGCATTCCCAAAACCCATGCAGCCACCGATGCTTTCCACTTTCCGTTAGGCTCAGTGGTATAGTGAAATCACAAGGTTGTTTTAATTTGCATTTCTATGATATCAATAAGTTTGAAATCCCTTCTTATACTAGTGGGATTTGGTGTTAGTTTTCCGATCATTGTTTTTTTTTTTTGTAATCATTTGCTCATTCTCTATGTTGGGTGATTTCTTTATTTTCGGAAAGGAATTACTTGTATATTCAAGATCTACAACATAATGTTAGTTATGACGTCTTGTCCCATTCTGTCTCTGTGGTCTTTTTTACTGCACAAAAACACTGAATTGGCTGAACATACAAAAACAAATAAATAAATAAAGAATGTGGATTATTAGAAATAGCATGCCTATATATGAAAATAACTCTATTAAAGATATGTTATTAAGAGCTAATCAGTTCACATACCCACCAACTTTCATTTTATTTTTACCTGTGTACCTAGGAAAGGAGCACTGACTACAGACATGACTGTTGAAAGTGGCAAAACAGCCTAAGTAATTTTAGAAGAAACTATTTCAAGGGTTAAATTGAGTTTAAAAAATAGATTTTGAAATGGTGAGAAAGTTAAATACCTGGTCATGTAGTTTTCTCCGTTATTATATGTGTTTTCTATTTAACTCAGGAGGAATGTTAAGACAGCTTAATAAGCACAAGATTCCCTTTAGGAATGAAGCATTTCTTTAGAATAGTTGTGTCCGCATTTTATGTCTTTAAAATTCTAATTTCAAACTAAATGTTAACTTAATAATTGCTAATCTCCAATCACCACATTAGGCTTGTATGCCAGCTATTTTGAGATGCTTTGTATGATTTTACTCTTATTTCTTTATATTGGGGACTTGTTTTTTTATTAACCAGGGAAAATGCCAATTAAGCAAATTTCTAATATTTGTAGTTTTGCTTTTCAGTTTTGTGTAAGCACAAGTACCCAGTCGCTCTCTTGCGCACGCGCACGCGCTCTGGTGCATGGTGTTTTTTTGTTTGTATGTTTTTATAACCTTTAAATCATCCTCCTGCTTTTCTGTGAAATGAACAAAGAGGCATACTTTATATTAATCTCTGGCTTTTTACAAGCCCAAAGACACAGCGACCAGTGTAGGTGAAAAAGCTCTCATTGGGAGTTCAGTGTGACTAAGACATGACTCCTACTAAATTGCCCGGGTTAGTTGGTTGATAAAACCTGTAAGAGGTTATCTCCTCTGCCATCACAGCTGTACGTGTGTTACTTTTTTTGTAACACTAAGTGTTTCATCAAAGATAGTGGCCTTCAAGGTAAAGGAGGACTTGCTTGTTGGTCAAGAGACCAACCGCAGCTGCAATTCTCTGATAGATTTTGTAAGCAAACTTAAGGAAAAAATGTCTGTGCCAGCAATCAGATAAAATCAACTGAACCAAATAACTTGCTGTAGTAGTTTCCCGTTGCTGCTTTAACAATGACCATAAACTTGGCAGATTAGACAGCACAAATTTATTATCTTGCAGTTCTGGAGGTCAGAAGTCTGACATGGGTCTCACCAAGCTATTTAAAAAGCTAAAATCAAGGCATAACCGAGGCTACATCAGAGCTGCATTCCTTTACAGGGACTCTGGATAGGTAATGTTTCCTTACCTTTTCCAGCATCTAGAGGCTGCCTGCATCCCTTGGTTTGTGGTTTTCTGCCCTCCATCCTCAAATGTACAAAGATGAATGGAGTCCTTCTCACATCACATCACTCAGACCTCTTCCATAGTCACACCGCTTCTGACTTTTCTGCAACCTTCATCCACTCTTTAAGTATCCTTCTGATTCATTGTGAGCACCTGATAATTCAGCTAATCATCCCATCTCAAGGTCAGCTATGAGCCTCCTTAATTCCATTTGGAACCCTTAATTCCATTTTGACATGTGACCTAATGTATTCCTGGGGTCTGGGGATTAAGACATGGGCATCTTTGGGTGTCATTATTCTGCCTCTCATACTTGTTATATATCTGAGTCTGATACGTATTTCACCAAGTGTATTGCACCTGCTAGAAAATACTGTTGATCCTCGTCAATATTCAGTTCCTTTATTTACTTATTCATTAATTCAGCAAATTTGATTTCAGTCTGTTAAGTGGTGAGTACCTGATATGCAATACAAAGCAAAATAAACATACTCTTTTCCCATCCTCTTGAATCTGTTGCCTATAACAATTGTATGCTGAAACAAAATTTAAAAAAAAAAATTATATGCATGATTGATTGTTGACTGATTATTTTTTCTGGTTTGTATCTTAATTTTAAAGAATTCCTGACATGAAATTTGTAGTTGATAAATACTATTTAAATAGCAAAATCTTTTAAAATATACTATGGCGTCCATTTAACTGAGGATGCAGAATACAAATAATACGTTTTTCCTCTATATGTCAAACAAAAAAAATCTAAAGATACTGTTGAGGGGAACCCAGACAAAGAGACAGGACACCAAGGCATGGGAAGCAACATTTATTGATGCTGGCACTGGCTCAGCGGATTCAAATCCAGAGGCTGAGCCCCGGACCTGGGTGGGACTCAGAGCTATAAACCTTGAAGTTTCCAGGTTGGCAGCTAAGATTTATTATTAGAACATGTGACCATTGTGCCAGTTCCCGACTGGCTCCTGGGTGAGGTAGGAATTTGGAAATATTAAACACAGAAGTCTTGCTGACCATACAGTCCAGGAATATCTTTGTCTGAAGCCTGCGTGAAATCCTTAGTGACCACATGGTCTGGAAAGGCCTTTGTCTAGGGCCCACTGCCACGTTACCTTATAGATTATATAAGTGGATACTATATTTTGCTAGAAAAGCTACATCCTCTGGAGCTTTTTAAAATGTGTTTTTGATTCTTGAGATTTAGCACTTCTCTTAATAAATTGAAATTAAACTGTAAAATTTAGTACTTGGAGACTACACGTAGTCTTGTTCTGAGGTTTAAAGGTAGTGTCCAAATTTATTCAACTATGATTTTCCACAGTGATCTTTTTTCCACATAACAATACAAATAAATGACAAATTCTGTCAGTGAAGCTTCTAAACTAAGAATTTATTGTAATATGTATAAGCTATTGAAATAGGTAGAGAGGGGAAGAAGATAAATATAAAAAAAATAAATTAAATTGCTTCAAAATGAAAGGCTATATTATCAGGCAGCTATTGTATTTATAATGACAAAATCTCAATGGCATACAAATACCTATTTCTCATACATATGAGGATCTATTTTAAACTATGATTCCAGATGAGATGGATCTTCACTGCCTATTCATTCATGTTCTGCTTACTATGTTTTCATTCAGAGGCCTGGGATGAAAGGACAGCAACTACCCAGGGGGTGTTGTTCTCATAGCTATGGTGGAAAAACAAAACGCAAGCCCCAGTGAGCCAGCACTTTCCAAATTTTGCTCATCACCATCGAAATAATCCACTGGTCACAGCAAGTCCCATGGCCAAAGCCAGAGTCAAGAGGTAGAGTCAGCCTCCCCTGAGGCCAAAAGGACACATGGCCTAAGCCAACATATATTGAGAAAAGAAGCACATTCCGCCCAAAGGTGGAGTAAGACGGGAGTAAATATTTTCTGAACAGTCACCCAAACTACTACAAGTATCTTTTGAAATAAGTACCAGAGACATCATTCTTACATGCTTTATTAGGCAAAGAATAATGAAAGCATATATGTATCTATAGAAATATATAAGGTCTGTGTCATGATTCTTTAACATAAGATAAGGAGCTCCTTGATTATGCAAAAGGTCCTTATTTTAATTTTCTCAGGCTGCCATAACAAATATCATAGATTAGGTAGCTTAAACAGCATGAATTTATTTTCTCATAGTTCTGGAAGCCGAAAGTCCGAGATCAGAACCCAGCATGGTCGACTAGTGATGGCTCTCACTCTGGCTTGCAGATGGCCAATTCCTCTCTGCCTCTTCACATGAAGGAGAGAAAGAAAGTAAGTTCCAGTCTGTCTCTTCTTATAAGGACACTAATCCCATCATGAAATCCCCATAAACTCATGAACCCATCTAAACCTAATTACCTCCCCAAGGCCCCATCTCCAAATACCATCACATTGGGTGTCAGGGCTTCAACATATGAATTTTGGGGGGAGACACAAACATTCAGTTCATACCAACGCCTATGGAAAGGACTTTGGAAATATCTAACAAAACTACATATACATTTATCCTTTGACACAGCAATCTCGTTTCTAAGAATTTATCCATGGAATTATACTTCTGTGTTTTTAAAAGTCAAAACACAAGATTATTTATTCTGTCAATATTGCTAATAGAAAAATATTAGAAACAATCTCACCACCCACAAATAGGTAACTTATTAAATAAACTCTTATATTCATGCAACCAGGTACTGTACAGATGTTTAAAAAAGAATGAGGAACAGCTCAAAGAATTGGTATAGTGTGAAACCCAGCACGTATCATTGATTTCTTTAAAAATCTAAATTCAAAAGAGTTCATGTACTATGTTTCCTTTCGTGTAACAAAGAAAAAGAAATTAGACTGCATGTGCATATTTGCTTAATTTTTGAAAAGAAATACAGAAAGAATAAACCATAAATTAATGTAATTTGTTACCTATAGGATGTTTATGAGAATGAAAGTGAAGGGACAGGAAAGAGAATGAGACATCTTTGAGTTTGCCTCATTATGTAGTGACTTTTTAACCATGTCAAAGTTTTACATATTAAAAAATAAAATCAACAAAGATAGGAGGAAATCTTTATAACTGAATGGAAGAAAAGCAAGTAGACAATTGCATATAAGTTGATAACATTCACAGAAGTAATTTTCTACACAGTTCTCTTACTGCATACCTTCAAGGAAACTAGTTTAAGGACAAAATGAGCTACAGAGGTATCTGAACCATTCCAGGTGAGTAGGCGGTGGTGTTTTGATTTTAAAACCATTTTGTAATGAAACTAAAGTAAATGAATACATATACAATGAAACATTGGATTGCAAGTAACTTGGTTTGCGAGTGTTCCGCAAGACAAGCAAACATTTCTATTAGGTTGGTGCAAATTTTGTACCAACCTAATAATACATTTTAACTTGGTAAACAAGCATTGTCTTGCAATACAAGTAGTTTATTTCCAGAATGAATTATGCTCGCAAATCGAGATATTACTGTATTGATCTTGTTTTAGAACCAAGGTTCTCGGTGTGAGAGAAGAGAGATATAAATATGGATTGCAAGAAGGAAAGAACCTAATAAAGGGCTTTGGACTTGGAAATATTAACATGAATGCATGATATTGTCACCTATGATCACTGAAAGGGCCTAGAAGCCATAATATCTCAATAGCAATGAACATAACCAGTGCTCATGTTTTGCATACTAAACGCCTTTCACCAAAAGAGAGAGCAGGAAAGAATTACTGGAGAAAGTGCAGATTTGAGGACTAGGTTGTGAAAACCGCAAGTTAAAGTAAGCCTGGAATGTTTTGTTGGTACGCTGAGAATAAGGAAGTACTCAAAACCTCAAGAGGATATATCACAAGACAGAAACCAGATTGAAAGAGTTCCTATTTGGAATAATTTGAGAATCAAAAATAATGACAATAGTGGAGTATCGCACATTGAATGTGTGTGTGTGTGTGTGTGTGTGTGTGTGTGTGTGTGTGTGAACTGAGTCATTAGACATACTCAAAAAATACAATGAAGGGAAGAAGGGTAAGCTGTTCTTTACAGAAGAATGATGAATAATAAATGGAGAAGGAATGACATTAAAAATTACCTTTCAAAACCCCTAAATAATAATTGATATAAAAAGGAATCATCAGTTGACACTACAACCATTAGATGAATAATTGTTTGGGAATAGTATATTCACATAGTCTCAAATATTTCATATTAATATATCCTTTTTAATTTTAAAAAGAAAAGGGTATCTTAGCAATTTAAAAACATGTCAGACATCTCAATCAAGCCTTCAAAATTCAAAACTTCCAATAATGGAACACACTGACATCGTGTGTCTCCTGCTGTGATATACGGAGAAAGACATATTATCTATTTAATGTTATTGCTAAAGAATACTTAGTCCAAATGTCATAATGAGGTATTAATCAGACAAATTCAAATTAAGTGACATTTTATAAAACAACTGCCCTGAAACTTTTTTTTTTTAAATGACTGGCAGACAATGTTTTTTTCTCTTCTTTTTTCAATTAGTTTCAGGTGTACAAAGCCACATAATGGTTAGACATTTACACCCTCACAAAGTGATAACCCCTCTCCTTCAAGCTATTACCTGTCTGACATCTTCTATAACTGTTACAATACCATTGATTATCTTCCTTAAATGCCAACATCATGAAAGGCACAAAAGGATGGAAATGGCTCTTCTAGGTCAAAGGAGATTTTGCAACTAAATTCAGGTTCTTATATTTCACCAGATTCCGGATTTTTTTAAAAAGCTATAAAAAACATTATTTTAAAAATAGAATTTTTAAAAAAATCAGTTGTATGTTAGATTACTACATCAATGTTAAATATTTTCTTCTGGTCAATGTGGTGGAGTTATATGACTACATTTTCCATCATTACTAAGTATTGTATATAAAATACAATAAAGTGTTTGTGGATTATTAAGGTCCTGGGCAATGTCTGAATGTGATCAATAAACAAGCACTTTTGTAGGGCCTATTATATACCAAGTCAATAATTGCCACAAGGGGATTCTGAGGTGTGTGGCTACCTCGGTGCTTGATAGTCAAGCGATTAACTAACCAGGGAAACAAAAGGCAATAA